TGCTCGTAAGTAACATTTAGGAGGGGCAAACTTTATAATAATCGTTCCGGAAATTTTCCATCATTGGCGGCGCGGTTAATTGAATTAAAGAGGTTCGTGACACAAGTATCCCAACCCTTGATAAAGACGGCGCGTAGCTCGCGTGAGCGGCCCCAGACAGACAGCGGGGAATGGAACGAACCCTGCTGCAAACAGTCGGCATAATTGACTCGGCCGCCACACCCCCGCTGGGCTGGGCTGGGCTGGGCTGGTCACGGGACACGCGCGACCGACGGTCGGTCAGCCTGGTTGGTATCGCATGACGGAGGGGTTGGCGTGGCGAGCACCGGGGCGGGAGGAGCAACAAGCAAAGCAAAGCGCAAACCGTCATTGATGGGAGACACGGCCACGGCCAGGCCAGGCCTGACCCGCCGTCGCGGGCGTAAGTGGTAAAGCCGGGAAGGCTTTGGCGCCCCTTTTCCTCTACAGTCTAGAGCCCCCCAGGTGAGGGGTGGGAAAGGAGTGAAGGGCTCTCCACTCATCCAGGAGAGCACAATGCCAAGGTCTGGGGTGGTGGTGGCAGGGTGGTGGTGGTGGCAGGGTGGTGGTGGTGGCAGGGTGGTGGTGGTAATGGTGGTGCTTGGCGCTGTAGCCGCGATGGGCCCGCGGCCTGCACAACTCGCCTTCATCCCCAAGGACGACATTACACATTACACTATGGATGCCCCAAAAGCCTCCCGACCAACTCCCAGAGCCTCTCTGCGCATACACCGGGCCGACACAGGACATGTGGGGGCGGTCCTCCTGAGTTCCCAACACCTCGTTTCGCTGGCTGTCACAACTCGCGCGCGTCCCGCGGCTGCGCCCCACCACCTCCCGCGCCCTGAGCGCCGCCCGCGCCGCCCCACCAAAGCCCCCCGCGCGGTCTCTGTTCGATATCGATTTCCAAAGCGACCAGACACGGGCACGGGCGCAGCGCGAGAGTGAGAGCACGGAAAGAAGGGGGGGGGGCAACTACGCAGCTGGTACAGCCGGTCGCGCGCGGTCGTAAGTCGGCGGCTCAATAATACAGTACTGAGATGAATGAGCCAACGCCGTCGCACACACCAACACCCCCCGAACACCCCCCATTCACCATTGACTGATTGAATCCCTGCGGCCACGCCACAGCGAGGTGCGCGGGGCAATGTTCTGTGGGGAGCAGCAGCGCATCCCCGGCCCGCGGCGCGCACCCCCTGGAGGAGCCTCGGTGACATCGCAGGGTAATTCCATTACCGCCCTCCTACGCCCGTGCGGCAAGCGCTTAGGGGCCCAGCAGGGCGGGGCGGCAGCGGCAGTGTATACACAGTACACGCAGAGTGGAGGAGAGAGACCTTGGGAGCGAAGCCACCCCTCTCCAACTACACCCCTTCGCCCGTCTCCCCGCTCCACCCCCACCCCCCTCTGTTTCTCTATTACCGCCCTTGCTTTCTACCCCGCTCTATTCCTCCCCCTTTCCGCCCTTCACCCATCTCTCTCTCTCTCTATCGCACTCTCTCCCTTCCCCGGGACATTCGATTGTTTGTTGGCGGGCAGCGGGCACGGGCTTAACTGCAGCAGCCCCCTCCTGCCCCTCTTCCAGCCCTTCCCTGCGGCGGTTCGGCCCCGGGTCCGCCTTGCACCATTCGTCGATCGAGAGCGCCGCCGCGCCGTCGCGGACCGACTCTTCTGCCATCAGCAGACCCTCCATCACGTCCTCCAGCACGAGGGCCTGCCTGCCGATGTCAGCAGCCAGGGGCTCTACCCGCAAGCAACTTCCTGCCCACCCGAGCCCAAAGGAAAAGGGACAAAAAACAAATAATGGAGAATTAGGCCGGAATCGAGTCCCGGCGCGTCGCTGACCAAGAATCAGGATAGAACTTGTTTGGGCAAGAGGTGGGGGTGGGGAGGGCAAGGTAGCACAGCGTTCGTCCATTCACAAAGGACACA